TTACAGCTCATGAAAACATGACATTTCCAGTTAGAATATAATATCAGATCAATAAAGAAATAATCTTAACTCAGAAATTTAGACTTAATGAGAAGCATGTTTAATGCCTGCATAAAAGGTTTTATTTACAAAAAAAATACATTTAAAATGCGGTAGTAATTCTTTATGTAAACTTTGGTGTCTTTATGTCTTTTTATTTGGTATATGTAAATGTAAATGTATGTTTTCTGGTACCTGTTATCTCCCAGAATTAAAAAATATATATTTGGATGCATGAATTTAATACCTCAGAAGCAATTTCTATTGATACCTAATAGCTTTAAGGAGAGACTATGTGGCAATTAAAATGTAGTTTTCTAGCTGTTTGGTTGCTAAGCTTCTTAAAAACAACAATATACATAAACATGAACAGAGTTTGTGTGATGTCTTACCTGTGTGCTCATGGATCTCCACTTTGGGCTTACTGGTGCTTACTGTCACTGACAGACACATGTGACCTGGAACAGAAGTATAACACACTTATTTTAGTTCATTTAGGACAGATTCTTAGATGCTTTTAAAGAATACCACCTTCATAAATAACAATGGACATTTATCAATTTTTCAGTGAACCTGTATTCTTTAAGTTTTCATTCAAAGAGAAATAAAAGACGGATCTTAGCAACTTGTGCAGTTTAGTGCTGGGAATATATGTTGATTAATCTTGTGATAAGGTGAAGAAGCCGCATGGTTGTTGTCATCAAAGCCTGGTGTCACTGTGTCATATTACATGCACAAATTACTGTTTTCTACACACAAAAAATAGACAGCAAGATAAGAAAAAAAAAAAAAAGAAAATCAAAATCCATCCAACATATTTTACTTGACCAAATTGACCTTTTCTCCAAAGTTTTGTAATTCTTTCAGGAGGAATACGTTCAAGACTTCACTCCTCCTTAAATAATCCATGGCTAAGACTAAAGCATACTTGTAATGCCATATTTGCTACATATTGACGTGAATACGTGTATATTATTTCCGGTTTTGTAAAGAAAACGTTCCCTTGCTGGAAATGTCCAAATCTCCACAAACTCTCCAGAAATAAACAAACAAAATAAAAAAATTCCAAGATATTAACAAAACACTTTAAAGTGCAAAAACATATTAAGACATATACAGATTTTTGATTAATTCAAAGCAAAAACTTTGTGAAAGCGACATGAAAGCACATTTAAAGTGACGCCTTCTCTGTTTCCAAACGTTCTAGAGCTGAACTGCGACCAGAAACTTAAGATCTAAGCCAAATATTATTTCTAAGTTGTAGGATTCAGACTGTAAGAAGCTTGTGAACAGAGGAGCAGACAGAAACAGAAGCATATAGAGTATGTGGTTAGGTTCTGGTGGTGCCAGGAGCGGTGCTGTTCAGGAATGTTGCTGATGAATCATCTCCTGACAAACTCCTGATAACCTTCTCCACTGATCTGTCTCTTCAACCAGCGCTCAAACCCAAACACACACACACACACACACACACACACACACACTGAAGCCAAACACACTTAAATGTGCAATATTGAAAACCCAACAATGAGTGTGAAAAACATGCAGTGTTAAAATAGGCATGTATCCAGTTTCTATCTGAAATGATACAGCTTAAATCAGACTGGACATAAACTAAAGTCTTTTTAATTTGGTTTTGGTCTGGACCAATCTGAAACCTGAATATTCTTTGAACTTAAATATTTCATTGTAGCCCAGGTTGAATGTTTAGGGTAATTTTTCTGCTGGAGGGTGAACTTGAACCGCCGTTCCAAGACGTTTGGAGCCTCTAAAATATTTTCTACCTGTATTTACCTCCATCCACCATCATATTAACTCCGTCCAGCTTCCCTGCTGCTGGGAAACAAAAGCATCCCCACAGCATAATTCCTCCACCGCCGTCCTTCACCAAGGGGTTTGGTGTGTTCAGGATAACCAAACAGACTCATTTTCATCCAGGCCTTAAAGTTTATTTCTTGACCCATTTACCTTCAGAAATCATGAGTTGCTATGATTTTCTTCCAACAGCAGATTTCAGTTTCTGAAGTGCACTGCTAATTGTCTGTTAGCTGTCAAAAGATTTTCTCACCTGAAAATCTCTGCATCTCCACCAGAGTCACCAAGAGTTACAACTGGATTGTTTTTAGGTGCATCAGATTAAAGGAGGTAAAAACGAAGGCATGCCACACTTTTCAGTTTTTTTTAATTCCCTCTTCCTTCAGCTTCACGATTATGTTCCACTTTGTGCTGGTTTATATAAAATCCCAATAAAATACTCCAGTTTGTGGTTTCAATAAAAAAACGTGAAAAAGATCCGATATGACACAAAACTAGACAGACAGTTTTTCAAAGAACTGCATGTAGTTTTGATTTCTGCTAGAGATGCATGTGTCATCAAATGTTCGAAGATGGCATTTAGTCAGTGTGTGTGTGTGTGTGTGTGTGTGTGTGTGTGTGTGTGTGTGTGTGTGTGTGTGTGTGTGTGTGTGCGTGAGTGTTGGGACCACATGCATGTGCTCTTCTTGCACACAAAGACAGCCTGTAAAACTGTAACCTTACCCACCTCAGCTGACACGCCACACACAGAGGCATGTACATTTGTAAGGATCTGATTGAAGCCCGACCTCCGATGCTGTAAGTTTTACCTTCACCCTTAACTTCTGTTTGTTTGTTTTTTTTTTTTTTTTTTCTGGATGTTTGCCAACCATGCCAGCCAACAAATGCATTTTTAAATGTCGTCCTCTCAGGAAAAGGAAACCAAACTTGGAACATGTTCGATTGGGCATTCGTTTTTTGTTGTTTTGCTCTGTTTTTTTAAAAACGTGAAAATAGCCAAAGCAAACGTGTTATAACTCAGTCTGAGAGAAAAACACATCAATCTTCTAATCTCTGTAAGAACATCAGCTCCACACAAGTAAATCTGAGGAAGATGAAAACACCAAAACTCCCATTGTTGGCATAAAGCCTGTTGTTTAAAATTCCTACAACAACATCAAATGCATGTTTTTAACAGATAGCAAGCAGTTATTCTCATCCCAGACCAATTAGCTAGAGGGTCACACGGAGGCCATCTTTCACAACTCAAGCAACAGGACCTGAAACTCCTCTGCAGCTCTGTGTGATCCGTTTCATCAGCCTGTGGATCTCGGGTTCAAACAGCATCAGAGCCTTGCTCAGTGTAAACATGAAGCTCAGCCACTCCCTTCACAATCTCTGCCCCTGAACACCAAAATGCCCTCCTACCTCTGCACGAGGGGTCTGCAAAAGCTCAGTCACACACATTATAAATCAGTGGAGAGAAGCCCGGAAACAAATGGAATGCAGTAATTATCAGCTTAAACTCTTTGTCTGGGAACAAGTTTAATTAAAATGTCTATTTTATCAGGTCGTGGCCAAGAAAGCGAATCTTTGTGTGAGAACAAACATAGAAATGTAGGAAGTGTTTGCACAGTTGAAATTGCAGCAAGAATAGCTTCCTTTTATCAAATGTATCGTTTGTCTGTTTTACTTGATTAATTTATATTTACCCCCAAGTCTCAAAACAAGATATATAAATATAA